GGGGGGGGGGGGGGGGGGGAAGGGGTTGTGGGTACTCTCAGAAAAGTTGGGTGAGGGTGTGCAGCTCACTTCCCAAAACTCTTACCCTATTTATGACCAGAATCTGTGATTTTTGCTACCCTTTTTATGACCTAGCCAAAAATTTGACACCCTATTTATGACCATTGTGGCTGACAGAGTTGCCCTAAACATAAGTTATGAAGGACTTTTGTTGATGGTCTCATTGATAATGATGAAAAAGGAGCTTCTTCCAAGAAACATACCCAATTAAAGACTAGAGTGCTAAAACCATACCCTATTTAAGACCAAAATGGCCAAAATCGATAGCGGTACCCTATTTATGACCAAAACGGCTGAAAAACCCTATCCTTTGGGGCTGCACATACCTATATAACCCATATAAGGGAGTACCCCCCACCCCTGGTTCAACCTCCACTCTGACTGGGACACCCTTGACATAGGTACATGTATACACCCACTCCCTTTCCCCCATAAGTGGTCCCAGCCAGATACACTGTTAATAATAATTATGTTAAATAGTAATATTTTTTTACTGGCTTAAACACCATGGCCATCTTTCTGATGTTATAAGACCAACATCTCAAGAGCTCAGTGTAACTTTCACAGTTTGCTAATATTTGAGCTGTACAGTACATGTATGCTTTTGATCCAATTGACATGGGTATCATGACCATTGTGAATTAATTTTTATTGTTGTTGTGTTTTTATTGTAACAGTTGTATTTTATTCTTTTTCCAGAAAAATATTCTGGCTTAGTTGGCTTAGAACCTGGACTCCGTGGAAAAACATTTATAGTTCAGGTAATTAAAATAATTAATCTTGAACATTAAAAACTAATTGAACCTTTAATAATTTGGACTGCTGACTAGGTGCATTCAGAAAGTGCTATTTTTGAAAGTATAAAATATATATTTAAGCACATGTACTCAGAGAGCCAGAATTTTTATGTTGGGCTGAAGCCAGTTGCCATTATGTTTCATTTTTGCTTAACTTGTTTACTTAATTGATGATTCATAGGGCTTTACAGTTGTAGAATCCATAAACCTTTATAAAAATTATGTAATGCAGGGTAGTTAAGCTAGTAACAGGAGATTTGAGGCATTTGCCTCGGTAAAAAAGTTATTAATAAATATATTTACTTATTTCAAGTTCCCATAAGAGGTTATAATGCATTAAAAATAATGAATTAGTGAATACAAAATATACATGCATTGTATTGTTGTGGTCAAAGAATTTTAGTCCAGCTGTGGCTGTATTGTACTGAATACATTGTAAATATGTAATTGTGATGTCGATATGAACAGGGATTTGGTAATGTGGGTCTCCATACTTGCCGTTATCTGCACCGTGCAGGAGCCAGGTGCATTGGAATCATGGAGAGAGATGGAAATCTTTACAATGAAGATGGAATTGATCCGAAAGAACTTGAAGATTATAAACTGGTAGGAAAATAGTAAATGTACATGTATGTTGTACATGCAACAACCAGAGCACACTTAGATAAATACTGAATTTATCTACTTCTGTTTCATGGTGCTGGTCAAATTTTTTTATTCTTCTTTGAATTACATACTTGTAGGCTTAACAATTAATTTCTCTTTTACTTGTGTCAAGGACAATGATGGCTCAATTAAAGGTTTTCCTGGAGCAAAGGTGTGTAAACAATTGTTATTAATGTCATCTTCAAAACAACAGAAAGTTTTGAATCATCACTTAATAATTTAAGTTGCCATATAAGAAAACACGCACTAGGAAAAGGTTCTGGCTCTCACACAACACCTCTCCAGCTATTAAACAGCCATAAAACTACTAATAAAGAGAAAACAAGCAATCGATGATTCAACAGGAAAATTATCCAACTAAAATTTGACTCTAAGAAACCCCACTGAACCTTTTTTGTTTCCCCTACTCATTCAAATTTTAACACTCCAAATATTTTCTTCAGTATGTGCCTTTTCTTTTTTAAAAAGACCCCCCTTGGTGCTAGACTGGAGCAACAAAATGTTGTTTTGTGTTCTTGTTTCAGATGACCGAGGAAAACCTTTTGGAAGCTGAATGTGACATATTAGTTCCTGCTGCGAATGAGAAACAGATTACAATTAAAAATGCCCACAAAATTAAAGCAAAGGTAAGTGATTATTTACAAATACTGTACTTTATTTTTTACTTTTGTTATCCATTTATATTTGCATTTTTTTTCTTTTCAGGTTATTGCTGAAGGTGCAAACGGGCCAACCACACCAGCGGCAGAAAGAGTTTTAATTGAAAACAATAAACTTGTCATTCCAGTGAGTTTTAAATATCATAATTTAGCATTGACTTATCCTCTGCCATTTATTCAGTCTAACAAAGTGTCTTTTCTAACGCATATTCTAGATAATAGTTTTACACCTTGCGATTAAAGACTAATTAAACGTTCGGAACTTTGGAAACGTTTGTTCCTAAAGATTTTGGTTTTGTTCAACAGGATATGTACTTGAACGCAGGAGGTGTGACTGTTTCCTGCCTCGAGTGGCTGAAGAACATCAATGATGTCAGTTTTGGACGTCTGACTTGGAAATACGAGAAGGAAGCAAACTTGAACTTTAATCTTTTAGGTATAAAGCGATTTGTATTCCATGCTTGCTGAAACGTTAAAATCTATCGCAAAATTAAAATAATTGGGTTTTTACTGGTTTTTCGATAGCCACAAGATCAGTTTATATATAATTTAGCCTTTTAAACCTGTTGTTGGTGACCTTCTCCTTTACATGTAGCTGTTCTGTTTTGCGCTAAAACTGTTAGGGTGTGTAGGTGGCGCGGTGGCCTCATGGTTAGTGTGCTCGCCTCCTGATTGAACTGTCCAGGTTCCTCAGCCCTGGTCGGAATCATTGTGTTGTGTTCCTGGGCAAGACACTTTGCTCTCACAGTGCCTCTCTCCACCCAGGTGTATAAATGGGTACCGGCGAACTTTAAATGCTGGGGTTAACCCTATCAGGGGGGAGTAGAAATACTCCTAGTCGCTTCATGCTACAGAAACTGGGAGAAGCGCCGGCCTGATGGGCCACTTGGCTCGTATGCAGTCTTTTGGCTGATCCGTCTTACGCTAAAACTGCATTTACTCTGATGTCGTAATCACTTTAAACACAATTTTTTAACGTTCATTTTTAAAAATTGTTCTTTTCTCTCTCACTCAATAGCGAGCGTCCAAGAAAGCTTGGAAACTCATTTCAGATCAAATATTCCTATCAGACCATCGGAGGGGTTCCTTCAAAAGATTGCAGTAAGTTAAACGTTCAAAATAATTGCAACAGTTTATAGACAAGTAAAATTCGCAGGATAGAGAAAAATTGGNGGGTTCCTTCAAAAGATTGCAGTAAGTTAAACGTTCAAAATAATTGCAACAGTTTATAGACAAGTAAAATCTGCACGGGAACATGCGGGAACATGTAAGAGCACGATTTTGGTGGGTTGAGCGGCAAAGCTGTGAGGAGAGAGTAGAGCGGGCACCGTGTGCTACTCGCGAATATTGTGCTCTTCGCTTAGTTCTTGCGTTCTTCCCCGTTGATTTAGAGCGAAAAAAGACTGCTTACAGTCTATGCCTGTCTTTACCAAGGTGTTTTTGGTCCCCCTCAGTGGATTAAAGAACGAGAAATTAACATGTTTTGTGTGATTTTGTCTTATTATGCCCGCAATGTTGTATTTTTTGCTCGGTAATAGAAAGGTCAATTTTAAGCACTTGAACACTAGTTGAGTCGATGTGTGTGCGAACTCGGTGGGTGCGAACTCGCCTGGGTGCGAAACCTCAAGCTACCGTTTTGAAAAGTTGGCTTAAATGCGGCCCGTGCTTTTCTCTACACCTCTCCACTCCTACCCATTTTGAGCTGCAGTTGCTAAGTTTTTCGTATTCTTCCAGGGCGCGTCGGAAAGAGATATTGTCCACTCTGGATTAGAATTCACAATGGAACGATCATCCAAGGTACGTGGCCCATACCGGTCAAACAAGGCGCGTTTCTTTCTTTCAGTCTACTACAGTCTACGGAAAGCTATGCCTTTCACTGAAGCCTCAGGGGCACCCAACGGATCGTTTCGGTAAATTATCTGTTCGGAAGGCCTTTAATCCCCTCTGATTTT